ATGTATGTATGTATGTATGTGTGCGTGTGTGTGCGTGTCTTGTCTGGGTGGCCGTCTCTCTCCATTCCCAGCCCAGCCTCCCCGATAAATAACTTAACCTAGCCTGGTCTGTTCCCACACCCAATTCCTCCCTCTCTCACACACACCAAACACCACACACATCTCGCCTCGCTTCCCTCCTCTCACGTAAACTCCCCACACATGAAGGAAGGGAAACAACTTCACCCGTGACATCTCTCTCCCTCAATTCCCCCTTCCCCAGCCGGCAAGTCTTTGGCATGCTGGTTCTTCTCTTATTTCACATCGTTTTCTGAGGCCGGATTATATTACATCCATCATCTTCGTTCTTTGTGGTTGTAATTCCTCGCGGGATTTGCCCCTCTGCTCCTCCGAGCTTAATACCCCTGCCGCTCCCTCAGCGCGTTTGTGACACTCCCCATTACCTCCCCCAATTCGTCCGACAACAAGAAAAACGCGTCGGATTCCCCTTCCTTACACACTTGGCCTTGACTTCACCTGCTTGTCGCGTTGCTTCATCATGGAAGTCGACAAGATGGTCAATCTATCCGCCCTGCCCTCAGAGTCTAGCTTCTCTGGTCCCCCAACAGACTCTTCCTCCAATGTCGCGTCGCTGAGCTCGACACCGCCCACAACCGTTGCAGACAGCATCAGCCTGGCTTCGGATACCCCCAAGCCCGACATTGCCCCGGCCGTCGTCGTCGAGGAGACCATCGAGGCCTCCGTCACCGTCGCCCTCGATGACCCGGAGCCAGAGCCAGAGCCACGACAGACCCCCAGCCCTGGACGCGCACGTCGCGCCCGCACGAGCGCCGCCCACCCAGTCTACAACATCTCCAGGCTGAGCGGCACAGACGGCCACGGCAAACGACGCGCAAAGGGCGATGAAGTCCGCGACAAGCGGAGACGCACCATCTCGGGCGACACGCTCGTCAGCAACGGCGACGCGCCCAACTCCAGCACCGACCGTCTCCTGCGCGACGGCATCGAGGCTCTTGACCTCCAATGGTCGATCCGCGGACCCAACACCCCCCGCGGAGCACGTGCCATGGCCAAAAAGGCCAGAGACTCCCCCCGACGCATCTCGACGCGTTCGGCCGGCGCGGCCGCCGAATCCCTTGCCACGAAGGTCTCTTCCCTGGGCAAACGCGGCCGCAAGATCTTCGAGAAGGCGAATCGCATGTCTCGCGAGCTGAAGAGACTCCAGGACACCAATGAGTTTGCGCACATCGACACAAAGCCCATCAGGCACACGGTGTGGAGTAACGGTAAATACGTCGACCCCGATGAGATTGTCGAAGACGAGGCGCCAGCACGCAAGAAGAGCAAGGTTCAGAAGGAAGACACCGAAGAACCCGAGCCTGAGAAGAAGGAGGAGGTTGTCAAGGGGCCAAAGCAGAGACGCGTAAAGAAGTACCTGGAGAAGGGATTGTACGCTGGTCAAGAAGCGCCATTGGACATTACTAAGGGATTGTCCATTGCGGAGAAGAAGAAGCTCGCAGAGTTGCCGGAGCTGCTTCCCAGCGGCAAGCTCAACAAGACGCTACCTATGCCCATCTACAATGGCTTCCGTCTTCTGCTCAACGGCAGAGACTTCAAGTTGCCCTTCGACATCTGCAACCCTCTCCCGCCTGGTCAGCCCAAGCCGGACGAGTGGCGAAAGATGACAAGAAGTATGCAACCCTTGACTTATTTTAGTGCTCGTCACACTGACTTGACTTTACAGATCGCTTTATTGGAGATGCTGCAATGTACTGGCGGAAGACTGATCACTTCAAGGACTACCAGTCCAAGTGCGTCTGTACGCGCGAGGACGGCTGCGCAGAGGACTGCCAGAATCGCATTATGCTCTACGAGTGTGATGACACGAACTGCAATGTGGGCAAGGAGCACTGCCAGAACCGCGCTTTCCAAAACCTTCAAGAGAGGACCAAGAAAGGCGGGCGGTTCCGTGTTGGTGTTGAGGTTTTGAAGACCTCTGACCGAGGCTACGGTGTGCGCACCAACAGATGCTTTGAGCCCAACCAGATCATCATGGAGTACACTGGAGAGATTATCACCGAGGAGGAGTGTGAGCGCCGTATGAACGAGATTTACAAGGACAACGAGGTATGTGACAGACTTGAGAATTGCCGAATCGCATCAACTGACTCTTCACTTAGTGCTACTACCTGATGTCTTTTGACCAGAACATGATTATTGATGCAACAACTGGCAACATTGCCAGATTTGTGAACCACTCCTGTTCCCCCAACTGCCGCATGGAGAAGTGGATTGTTGGCGGACAGCCGAGAATGGCTCTCTTTGCTGGGCCCCGCCCCATCCAGACCGGCGACGAGCTGACGTACGACTACAACTTTGATCCTTTCTCCGCAAAGAACGTGCAGAAATGTCTCTGCGGCAGCGCCAACTGCCGCGGTGTGTTGGGCCCCAAGCCCAAGGAGGTGAAGGTGCCGAAGCCCCCCAAGGAAGTGAAGAGCCCGAAGAAGAAGGGCGTCAAGGCCACTCTGAAGGCGACTGCCAAGGCGACGGTCAAGGGTGGAAAACGCAAGCTGCAGGAGCTGCTTGCAGGAGGAGAGGACGAGGCCGATACCAACAGCACGAAGAAGCGCAAGATTAAGCCGGCCACGGGAATCAAGCGCTCGCTATCTTCGGCCAGTCTGAAGAGCCTCAAGGGAGCAGCAAAGGGAGCCGCGACGGTTGTTAGGAAGACCGCTTCTAGCATCTCTGTTAATGCACGAGCTGCCCTAGGCCCGAAGACCCCAGCAGCCAAGGCAACCATCAGAAAGTCGAGCAGTACCAGCACTCTCAAGACCTACAGCAAGAGCGGTACCAAGCAGCTGAAGCTAGCAGCATCCCGCAGCTCCAGCTTGACGATTGTGGCTCGTCCCGAGAGCGACGACGAGAACATCAAGCCCGGCAAGGGCAAGCGCTCTCCGCAGTCCCTGAAGAGCACCAAGTCTCGCAAGAGCATCCTGACCTCGCCCGCCTCGTCGAAGATAACCAAGAGGACCCCCAAGAGCATCAAGTCCCCTAGAAAGGGACTGGAGCTCTCGCGCGCCGCCAAGATCAGGCTTGTGGATGATGAGTAGAGACAGAGACGAAGGAAACGGAGGCACGACTGTGCATTGAAAAACGGCGTTGGTGGCCTTTAAAGATGCTAGTGAGGCGTTTTTTGGTATTCTTTTATTTTATTGCACATCGCAGAAGTATCCCTTCTTTTTTCGAACGTCCCGTCTTGCCAAGATGAAAACGGGTGCTGCAAATGTACATTAAGCAAAAAGGAGAGGAGGGGAAGACGGAAGACGAAAGGAAAGGGAAACATGATTTGCCAATTTTTAAACTCGTTAGCATCTACCAAGCAAAGCTTCGACGATCTGGGGGGCACGGGGCGGCGGCAGCAGCAGCAGCAAGAGGCTGGAGGACCGAAAAGGCAAGAAATGAAGGGTCCTCTGTTCATTGCCTTGAGACTAGCACCCAGCGAGAGAGGGATAATATGATTATATTCTTGAGAGTTGCTTTTGTTCGAGAAAGGTTGCCGAGTGACGATTGCTGACACAATGAGCGATGTGAACTTTAGATACTGGCAGTTGCAAGACAAAGACTATCAGGACGAGACTTGAGATGTGTTTGAAATGATTAGACGTAGGGAGTCTGAATGATGCCGCCTCGAAGCCGTCTGGGAATTATTAGAGACGAACCTGAGGACGCTGTTGCGCAGTTCGATCGATTTTGGAGTTGAGGTCTTAGTCCCGACCTCAGTATAATTTATTCTACAGTAATCGCCAACTTTCTCATTCGCCACATGCTTAGCACATCATTTCTCATCTCTACAAAACAAATATCTGTCATACCAACGCGGCCTACGTCACATGAAACCTTCGTTTTCAATTGTATTGACAGTGAGAACCAAAGTTCGCAGTGATACATCGAGCGTCGCCGCTTCGCCATGGCGTCACACTTTGGCTCGCCGCCGATGAGTTCCGGCCGGTTCTCCAAGCCTCGGCCGCGGCACCCAAAGTCGCCCGCCCAGTCGGCGCAGATCCGCGTGCGGAATCGGCGCCGAGAGTATCTGGAGAGGCACTCGGATTACTTCAAGTCCACGGAGCACGAGCTGGCAGGTGGGTGGGTTTTCATAGTTGCGCGTGGCTTGCCATCTGATTGGGTGCGGCGAGCGCTGTTCCTCACTACATGGCAATAGCTCACTCAGCGATGCTTCGCCTATGTTTGTGGATTTCATGGCAGTTCAAATCTAACAGCGTGACAGATCCCCTGTTATATGATTCACTCGTCCGGCAATTCCAGACACCGGCAGAGAGGGAAGCAGAGGGGCGCGCAAAGGGCTATTCTCGAGTCCTCGAGGGCTCACTCCTCCGAGGGGAGGCCAGGTTGGAGGCAATGGCCAAGACATATGTCCCCGGCGATCCGTCAGAATCCTCCCGCCAAGAAGCCTCAGCCAGAAGTGCAGTGAGGCCACAGCAGAACACCATTTTCGGCGTCGAGGCGGATCTCGCACCCCAGCCCGAAACGAAAGCGGAAGCAAGGGAGCGATGGGAAGAGTTTCTGCGAGACCGGTTCATTCATGGCGGGGATGAGGACTTTGAGTATGCAAAAGTAGACGAGAACGATGAATTTGATGTGCTAGAGAGGAAAGATCAAGAGGAGGCGTGGTTCGATGACGAGGACCCAGAGTGGGTGACCGATAAAGGGGATCAGGAGAAGGACGAGAGTGGTGTCGGTGGGAGGAGGGAACGGAAGATAGAAGGACAGACAGGGATTCAAGACTTTTAAGCCTCTCCATACATCAGTGTATGCCTCCGCTTGGTGACGAGGTGTGTAAATGTTGTGTCTGCTGTATTGCTTCATCGTGATGTCTTGCGACTGATGTAAACCAGTGGCGGAACAGATGTCATATCTAAGAGGATGCCACCGATACATCCTCATTTTGCCAAGTATCATGGGCGTTGACGTGTATGTCTGTATGTATATTGACTTCGAACGCCTCTCTATCGCCATCTATAACCCACAATTGACATCATTGATAAGCACTGCAAAGACAAATTAAATACCCTGCTCATTAATACCAACAGCCTACTCGACGCTCTCTCTAAAATACGCTTCAAGGTCCGGCAGCGACTCTGGCAGCACACGGCCGATCTTCATAACCTGCAAGTTATCCTCCACCGTATAGATCCTCCCACAATCGAGTCTGGCAAACGGCGAGATGAACTGTTGCCCATCTTCAATGATGACAGCAATTGGCTTGCGCACGATGCCCTCCTCTGGAGACGGGTCTGGCGGCTCGACAACGCTTGATGAGTATAAGACTACGAAGTCCTTAGACCGGCCTCGACCGGTCTGAGTTGATGCTTTCCCGCCGGACGAGGTGATTGAGAAACAGAGCGAGTGGTGTAGTCTTTTGCGAACAACGATGAACCAACGGAACCTCGCGTAGGGTCTCTCGCCGTGGAATGGCCGACATTCCTGGGTGTATTCCGAATCTGGTCGTCTAGAGACCGTGTCGCGCCCGCCAGGCTCGAACCAGACCGCCTTGAAGATCCTGCCAACGGAGAAGAACCGCTTCGGCTTGTCGACCATTCGAAATCCTTTGCTTGTTAGTCATGAACATGAAGCTTCCTGAAGCAATGCTACACATGAGGATGCGTAGGGTTAACTGACTGGAATCGGGAGGAGCATCAAAACTTCTCGCCAGCCTGGACACGGTCAATGAAGTAGAGTCAAGTATCGTAGACCTTGACTCGCCGTATGCTGCTTCACTTTGCGAGGGACTTCGCAATGCGTGGAATCTTGCCTCTAGGTCGCGTCCGAAAGTTCCAAAGTCAGGCCTACTTTGCCGTGGCGCCTGGCCTGTTGTGAACTCTCCATAGCTCGTCCGTGAAGTTGATGAACCGCCGCGATAATAGTCTTCAGCCTTGGGTGGCTCGGCCGATTCAGATGATTTGGTATCGGTGGTATAACCAGACCGCTGATACTCTCGGTAAAGAAGGAGTTCGTTGCCTGAAACTCGGAAGTCAGCCGCCTTGCCGATTGCTGGCTCGCCTCACGCGTGGCACCACTGCACAGACCTCTGTATTGGATGTAGTCCCGGTGCTCCGGGCTCCAATACCACTGCGTCCTATCTTGTCTCTGTGAAGCATTTTCTACCGGGGATGGCGACTGTGCGTTAGGCGATCCATGGTCTGGCCTTCCAGCAGCCTCTGAGCTGAATGGTTCACTATCAGAGTACATACTCCTCCTGTCTGTAGGGATTCATGAGCACACAATCGGTTGTGGTGAAAAGGAAAGCCGATCAAGCTAACCTTGTGTTTGGCCATGACTCTGGTCGTCATTGTAGCTCCAAGTTCCGTCACTCATTCTCGACCAGCTGGTCTACTTACGAAATACAGGATATCACAAGGCATAAGTCTCTTCAATACGTGGTTCCCCTAGTTGAACAACTTGACAAAGGGGCTAATGGTTCCAGGATCAAGTCCTACAATAATTTAGAGCAGGACTAGCCATAAACGGCGTCCTGCTGCCACAAGTTTCAGCTGGGATTTGACAAGACGGTATGCGAGAAGGCGAGCGGCAATTTCGCCGCCATAGCTCCTGTGCAGTCAGACCAACTACATATTAGGGCTTGGGCTCGTAAGGCTCCTTGGAAACGGTGAATCAAGAGCGCACATCTCCGGCAACCGGACGCAAGCAAGGTGAAGACATGGACAGGGGTGGGGGTGTCCCGTTATGTCTCTTCTATGCAGATGTTTCTCACGACAGCCCTGCCAAGACGACACACCTCATCCCGCGCAGACCGTGGGGGCTTATCGTGGAATCTGCTCGAGAAGAGAATTTCTATATAGATACTCTACATGTTGTGAGATCCAACCTTTTTTCCCCCTCCTGATATATGCTCGAATATTGCTGAGTGAAGAAACGGAATCAAGTAATGGTGTAGTTCTAAAGAGGCGGACGGGTAGCTGTACACCGCTTCGGAGGCGTCATTACTATCACCACTTCCAGGCGTCCTTTTATAAGAGCCGTACCGGCGATTCCAAACAAGGACCTCGGTCAGCCTTGCTTTTGCCGATGCCTCTGAGTGAACAGGTTCAATGCTCGCCAATCGCTTAACAAAGCCCATGCGCTGCATCCGCGATAGCGGCCATCGTAGGCGCTGCATTCTCGATGCCGTTGATGATGACATCCTTTTTCATGTGCCAATGGTCTACGCCACGATGCCTAGCCCTTACATCCGCATGCTGCCGAATGCTATGCTGCTCAGGACCCAAGGAAACATGATTTGAAGATGGTATCGAGATACGCCTGCCTTGCAGTCACGAGGCTGTTGGGTGGCCGACGGTAGCCGTGCCATGGCCATGTGGCACTCGTTACTCGAGCCAACTAGATGCCAGCCGGCTCTCGATCTCGAAGGAACCTACGTGGTTGCAACCTCTTTCTGTATCTACACTGTAGCTGGGCAAAGCTAACTTTCTCACGAAGGCTATCGCGGCTGACGTTGGGATGCTGGAGTATTGATCGATGTCTCAATTCGCTCGATTTAGAGATTCATAGACTGGATAGGGCTTCACATTTATTACGTATGGCTGACTGAAATTGCTTGTTCATGTCTTGTCGTCATATAAGTCGGCTTCCAACTGATCTGGTGTTATCAGCAAATAGTGCTACGAAGTTGGATTAGAAGTATACTATGCTCCCAGAGATATGAGCTCAGTGACGGAAGAAAGCACAATGCCACTTTCGAAAGAGTTCCATGATGTTACAATAACACCAAGTCAAAAAGAATAGTTCGCCATCATGAAGCCGTTGAAGTGTGGTGATCACACTGACTCAAACTCCCACAGTGTCTGCCAGCACTCTCAAAAGCCTTGTGCCAAACTCCTCAGATACTCCTAAGTCCACCCTCACTCCTTCTTATCCTCCTTCTTCAACCCTTCCTCTAGCCCCTGGGCCAGATCGACCGCCCATCTCGCAGGCCAGCCTTTCCTATCCAGCTCCGCATCCTCGACAAAACTCACCCTCCCCTTCCACCAGTCCAACCAGCCCTCTGCCCTGGCACCACTCTCCGCGCGCAGCAGGCCAACGCTCACGTCGATCACGTCCGGCCGCCACTTGTCGTGCCAGAAGACGGTGGCGCCGCACACGGGGCAGAACTCGCGCAGCACGCCCGGCGAGGACTCGTAGCCCTGCAGGATGCCGCGCGGCAGCGTGCCGAAGTCGAGCGGCACGGTGCCCTCCGCGTCCGCGTGCCCGGACGAGACGTGGAAGAGGATGTTGGGCCGCGGCACGAACGTCCACGTCTGCACCTCGAAGCCCGAGATCAGTCGGCACGACCGGCACGTGCAGGTGCCGGCGAGGTATTTCGTGCTGCCGGCGCGCAGCCACCACTTGACGTTGTCCGGGTTGGGGGTGATGGGCGAGCCTTCGTGGTAGGCGATCATGAGGTCTGGGAACTGCGAGCGCGGGTGCGTGCTCGCCTCGTTGGGACGGGTGAGGTGGAACTTGACGTTGCCGCAGTGGCACTCTGCTGGGAGGACATCATCCCCAGCGGCTGGGGTTGAAATCTCGCTTGGATTGGGATCGGATTTCATGTGGTCTCCAGCTCCCATCCATGGTGCCAGACCTCCATCTTTCGTATCCTCGACATGAACATGCTCCGTCTTCGGAAGCCCTGAGCTCTGCCCACCCCTATCTCCCTCGGCTGCGGCGATGACACCCGTGGCAACCTCCCAAGTCCCCTTATCGCCGTCCTTCTCCGTACACCTGAAGACATGACAACCGCACGTACGACAGAAATAGCGTGTTATCTTTTCCCCTCCAGCTACTCCTGAGATGTGAGCAGCCAAGCCGGTGAGAGACGATGGTTCCGCAATCCGTACGTACGAGGCACACAGAAGCCCCGTAGAATGTCGACAATCATCGCAGTGACACAACTTGATGACGTCTGGGCCATCTTGGCCAGACGAGCTGACAATCCCATCGACGTCCTGGTGAGCAGCGCCGCAGAGGCAGGTGATTGAATACTTCTCAGATGCGGATGCCATTTGTGCGAGTGCGAATTGGTGTAGAGATAGAGAGTATTGCAACTCAGACAGCGGGAAGAGGAGGGCTTCACATAATTGAGAAGCAGCTCTGATGGTAATACGGCCTGATTAAGTATCCGCGGGCGAACCTAATCGTTCGCGGATTGTCGCACCTCCTACGACCAGCTCGTCTGGGTTTGGGTGTAAGTGAATGGCGGGGCGGGGAAAGCATCTAACATGCCCCTAGGCCCGTCATCCCGCAGCCACCTCCAGATCGATGCACACGCCCGACAAACTCCGGACCGACCCGGACCGAAGATCGTGAGTTGACTCGTCCGTGAAGAGCAGCCATCACACGTATGCAGGTGAGATTTGACAGGAAAGCAGTTCTAGACGCCCTGGTAATAGTACTATTATTTTTATCGACCACCTATTCGACTTCTACTGCTATATCAAACACGGTAAGTGGGTATGTGGCTGGCTATATGATATCAACTATGGAACGAGAAACTCAGTCGGCCAAAGCCTACCAGGTATCCAAACGAGAAATGAAAACGACATTCTACACAACAAAAAAATGAGGTCCTCTTTTCTGCCAGTATTCTGGCGTTATCCAAAATTGTACATGCAAACATAGATGAGAAAGGAAATAAATGTTGATAGATCCAAGATTCCAACCGTCCGTAGATCCTGTTTCTGAAGATTCATGGGAAAACATCACCCTTTGTTAGTTCAGTCATTCCAGTCTTCGTACTCCGCGCCGCCATACGGATTCCACTCTTGTCCAGGGTAGCTTGTGGCACTCATTTGCGGGACGTCATCCTCGTCCTTCTTCTTCGCGGCGGCAGCCAGTGCAGCATGCATGTCAGGCTCAGTCGGATTGACAGGAATCTTCTCCTCCTGCTCCCTCAACAGCTGCTTCCGCTTCATCTCTTCAAAGATGTCTGCTGAGGACTGAACCGGTTTCCCGTTACCATTCGCAGGCCTTTCGGGCCTGTCGTGGTGGCCGTTTGCCGTATTTTCGCTCACAGGAGGGGCGGTTTCAATGACAAGATCCTTTGGCCGCTCATCCGACCTGGCAGATATGGTCGATCTGGTGTCGGCGTGATCTTGAGGCCGTCCCGCAAACTTGGACGCCGGCTCTGCTGATGGAGACTCAATGACTACATCCGCAGGCTGCTGCTGGCGCGAAGGAGGCGGAACCGAGTTGCGCGGAGTAGCATCGTAAATGTTCTCCTCCTGAACATTGTTTGCCGCCTGGATATTGACGTTCAGGTTCACAGGTGACTGTGGAGCAGGCGGCTCAGGGCTGACATTTCGGTCGGGAGTGATTTGGGGGCTAGGAGACGATGCATGTGGCGATGACTGGCTTGGCAGGGTATTGATACCACCGCTAATTACATTGGCGATAGTGTGTTCCTGCTGTTGCGGAGGAGAGGGGTGGAGCGACGACACCTGGCTGACAGCGCTCACTTGACGTTGAACTGTCAAGCCCGCATTCTGGTCCACAGCGCCATGTTCAGGTTCTTGCGTAATGACAGCAAAGTTCTGCGGAAGCGGAGGGTTTGGCAAGTTGCCAGCTGCTGTGTTCACCGGAGAGAACGTCGACGACTCTGGCAAGGGATAGTTCTGCGGCGAGCCAGGATGCTGAAGAATTGGCTGTGAAATAACATTCATCTGACTTGCGTCCGTGGTGATACGATCAGGTTGAGGTCGTTGTCCTTGGCTGTCAGGGGAAATCGTGGCTATCTGAGTATGATGACCCGGAGACGACGACGACACTGGAGAGAGACCTGGCGTGGCTTGCGGGGTGGGAGCCAAAGCTCCAGGTTGTGGAGAGCTGCTGAGCGGTTGGGCCACTGCCTGATTTTGGATTTGCTGAGGTTGTGGACTCGCCTGCGCTTGCTCTGGAACTGGCATGGTAGGCTGAACTTGCTGCGGCAGGCCCTGAGGTTGTTGCCCCTGAGGAATACCGGGTGAGACTTGGCGCTGCATATGACCAGGCGGTCCCCATTGCGGCTCCTGTTGATAGCCTTGCTGAGCTAACGGAGGACTGGGGTACTGCCCATAGCTGGGAGCTCTACCAATATTGTATGGAGACGGAACCAACATGCCCTCACCGTGGACAGGGGCGTAGCCAGCAGGAATCGGCACCTGAGCATACTGAGGTTCGGCAGGGCGTTGGTTAGACGGTTGCCGCTGGTTCATTGGTCGAGGTGGGCCGCCAGCGCCTGGTGGAGGTTGAGCCATAGGCGGGCGTTGCTGAGCGAACTGCTGGCCCTGCTGGAACTGCTGACCTTGCTGGAATTGTTGACCCTGCTGGAACTGTCCAGGCCCTTGCTGAGGGAAACCGGTGGGCTGTTGCGGGGAAGCTCCCGGCACCTGAGTTGGACCTTGAGGCTTTGGAGGCGACTGTCTCTGGTTCTGGTACTGGACGTAAGGGCCAGGACGCATCTGCTGACCAGGCACCTGGGGTTGTGGCTGCTGCAGCCCATTAGGAGGGCGCTGCATTTGCTGCATCATCTGAGGCGGTGGTTGCTGCATGCGCTGAGGGCCCTGTCCTGGCGGATACTGCGGCCCACCCGGAGGTGCCTGGTGTGCTGGCTCAGGTTGCTTAGAAGATCTCTTGAAAGCGCTGAACAAACCCTTGCCAGCCTTCTCTTGCTTCTCAGGCCTCTGCTGCTGAGGCCCAGCGCCTTGACTTGGTTGACCAAAGGACTTGCCCTTGTTCAGAAGCTTCGAGAATGTGCTCTGTTGTTCCTGCTCGGGAGGTGCGCCCATCATCTGCATGTTTTGAGGCGGTCTCTGCATGAACTGCTGACCAGCTTGTGAAGGACCTGAGATGTTTGAAACTTGCGTTGATGCTCGAGACACGATCCATGGTCCCTGACCTTGTTGCTGCTGCTGTTGCATGCCAGGACCGATCGGGCCTCCAGGCTGCTGGAATTGCGGCTGTCCAGGAGGACCTTGCTGGAACTGTTGTGGGCCTGGAGGTCCCTGGAGCATGCCAGGCTGAGGAGAAGTTGCTGGTGGAGGAGCCTGTTGTCCTGGTTGGGGAGCAGGAGAGGCAGATGGTGTTGACTGGGCAGACAGGTTGGAAGGTTGCGCCCCAGGAGCTGCTGGCTGCATCTGTGTACCAGGCTGGAGGTTTTGAGCCCCGGAAGGAGTAGAAACTCTCCTGAGCTGAGGCGACCCTTGTGATCCAATATGCGGGCTCTGCTGACCAGAGGAAGCCACCGACGATCTCTGATCTGTCTGGGGATTGACTTGAGCAGGACCTTGCTGTGTTGGCTGTTTGACAGCATTGGGTGCGGCAGAGGATCCAACCGGCTTGCGAGCTGGGGCTTGAAGAGACGGCTGTGGCGTTGTGCTTTGGGAGGACTGTGAACCACGGTTTTGAGCGACTGGGCCACCAAGGGCTGGCTGAGATACTAGCTGAGGTTGTCTTTGATCATTGACCGGCAAATCAGACTGAATAGGTTGTCCTGCCGGAGAAGGAGCTGCCTGTTCAGTAGAGATTTGCGGAGCGGCATTCTGAGACCCTGGGCTCAACCGAGATGCTTGTTCTCCGGAGGCCTGAGCTCCATCGTTTTGCACTTGTGGCGTAGGCTGAGCTTGCTGGGCAGGCTCTGGCTGCAGTGGTCGTTCTTGAGCCTGGTCAGGTTGGACAGACGTTTGCGAGAGCTGTTGTTGTGGCATTCCGGGTCGCTGAGCATTGACACCAATGACTGGGTTTTGATTTAATGGGCTACCAGCCTGCGTGATCGGGGACACGCCAGGAGAGGGCTGCTGGGGCGTCATGAGCCGTTGCTGATTTGGTATTTGACCTTGTTGCTGCATCATCATCATATGCATCTGTTGCGGTGTGAGAGGAGCCCCTCGGCCACCTGGCTGTACGAGGAATTGAGGCTGTCCCATTTGTCCCTGAGGTCCGATAGGCTGTCCTTGAGGGCCAACTGGCCTCATGGGGAATTGCTGGAGCTGGTACTGACCCTGCTGCCCTGGCTGCATCATTTGCTGACCTTGATACTGGGCAGGCGGCATCTGACCTTGTTGAAGTCTTGGATCCCTTGACTTCGAGTCTGATCTCTTCCCAAGAATACCAGATAGGAAGCCACCTCCCGAAGTTCTACGACCACGCTCAGGTTCCGGAGCCTGGAAGCTCACCTGAGGAGGACCTTGTTGTGACGGCCTTTGTCCTTGGGTGTCCGCGGTGAAAGGTCGCGTCTGTGGCGGACCACCGGCGGCTCCGCTCATCTGAGGCGGGCCATTGATGCCGGCTTGCGTAGGAGGGGCAAAGCCTTGCGGAGGTGGTTGGCCTTGCATGGAGGATTGCATTGAGTGGGCCGTAGCGGGTGGTCCCTGTTGCTGCTGACCATGTTCCTGGTGCGCTCCAGTCTTGAACATGCCCTTCAATGCAGAGCCTTTCAATGCCGAGAATCGCTTCTTAGGCTGTGCATCACCACCAGCACCTGCCGGGATGGAACTATCAGATGTTGAGGCCCTGGACAACTCTGGCCGGCTTTGAGATGCTTGTAATGAAGGGCCTCCAAGTCCACTGGGTTTGCTGAAGAAGGTACGTTTCTTCTCCAGAGGCTGTCCTTGCTGGTCGAACCCTCCAGTTGAAGCACCGCTGGTACCTTGCCGGCTCGGAGGCGGTATGTTTTCCGCGCCAGGTGCTGGACCACGCAGGCTGAACAGCGTCGACTGTCGCTTCTTCCGATCTTGACCATCGTCCGTGGGGATACTCGCCTCAGAGACACCATCACCAGTAACTGCAGCGCCCTGGAACCGGGGCCCGCTCAGTGAGTCTCGTCGCTCGCGAGTGTTACCACCAAGCCTGTCACGCAGGCCTGAGAATATGCCTGAATTTCTCTTATTTTCGTTCTCATCCTGAGCCTGAGGTGGCTGAAACTCATTCGTCTGCGTGCGCCCTAACATATTGTTTTGCTGTTGCACAAATTGAGGCGCAGGCTGCTGGAAATTTGATTGAGGAGGTTGACCACCCTGTTGAAACTGCTGTCGAGGCTGCTGACCAGGGCCAAAGCGAGATACATTGGCGGGCGGTGCGGCCTCTGCTGGTCCTTGGCCAACTGGAGGCTGGTTAGGAGGGGGAGATGCGGAATTCATGGGTGCAATGGGTCCGCCGGTCTCCTTGTCGAAGCTATAGTTGGCTTGATCGCCAGATGGAGAAGCAGAGGCATTGCTCGGAGAAGCACGATGCCTAGCAGATTGCAGGGGCTCTGATAGATGTGATTCCTCTAGTTTCCAAGGCCCTTGAGGTGGGAATCTCTGGATGGGGTTGCCATTGGCCATCATATTAGGAGGCATCATGCCCGGTTGCGGCTGCATGAACTGAGGTCCTGGGCGGAACTGCTGTTGCTGACCCGGGCCGGCATTGTTCATTGACGGGCCTGGCATCCCGCGCTGGGCTATTTGTGCATTTTGCGGAGGCATGTTCATCGCGAAAGGGCCCTGAGGATGTTGTTGCATGCCCGGGTGCTGGTAATAGACGCCGCCGGCCGCGCCCGCAAGGCTTTGCTGCATACCTGGTTGGCCCTGCACCATATAATAGCCGCCTTGCATAGGCTGCCCTGGTGGCGGCGACATTGATTGCTGGGGATTCATGGCTACCTGAGACATATTGGAAGCACTTGGGGGATTGGCAGCCGGAGACCCGCTGCGATCGCCTTGATTAATTGAAGACTCTTCAGTGGCCTTGGTCAATGACATGCCAAAAGTCGAGCTTCGACGGATAGGCGGCAGGCCAACGAAGGACGATTGGCGGTGCGGCGATGAGTTGGGATCAGCTTGAGGCTGACCAGTCTGGCCAGAAATGTTGGCTGAAGTCACGGGACCTTGAGAAGGCGGCATACTATGTCCCACACCACGAGGCTGCGACTGTCGGGGGCGAGGCTCGTGCTCTGGGGGTACCGTGCGGCCTTGGGCAGGGGATGAAGAAAGTCTGGGCTGGGAGGAAACTACAACCCAATCGTCAGAGCGATCGTCAGTTTTCACGTTCTTTGCATCGTCGGCGGCGATGATGGAATGGACGGAGGTGCGAGCCGGGGCCGACGAAGCAACGGCGACGGCGGAGGCACCGGGATGGCTACTACTGCCCAGCGGTGCACCAGGACCCTTGGGCGTAGGATCGTCTAAATCAAAGCCTTCCTCTTCGACGAGAGGCGTTCCGGTGAAGGGGTCCCAAGAGGGTTGCTGCTTACTGATTGGGCGCGGGACGTGGAGGTTGGAGGCGTTTTGGAAATGCTGGTGTTCCTGGGCCCGATCCAATTGCTCCCCAGGCTGCGATTGAGATTGAGACTGATTTTGGGGTTGAGGAGGGGCGGCAACGGCTGTGGAGGTGGGCGCGGGTGTCGAGCGCGAAAAGGTCTCGGAGACGGGCGAGACTAGCTCTGGCTGGCTGTCGCGGCGCGCAACGGCCGGAGCTTGGGCTGGCGCTGGGACAGAGCCTGTGCTGGCGCGGAAAGCTCTATCGGGCGGCCGAGAGGTCTGCTGAGCCTGCGGAGGGGGTGGCGGGAATGGCGACGACGACGGATTGCTTCCGCCGTGGGACAGGAAGGAATTGGAATTGAAGGGAGAAATTCGCGTTGGTTGAGGGAGCTGGAAAGGCAGCGAAGAAGACGAGATTGAAGGCGCGGCTGCGCTGGCGGGATTGGTATTAGGATTAGGATTAGGATGAGCATGGGCATGCGCTCCAGGAGCGTTGCGGCTGGCTGCAGCAGCAGGCGAGTGGTCAGTGACTTACTTATTAGTATGGAGGGAACGATGGGGCCGGCCAGGTAGGTAATAATAGGTAGGCGAGCATGGGGGAATGGGATGGGATGGGTACAGTAGCAGGGCAGGATGGATCAGGATAGGGTAGGGAAAGCATGGGACGAGATGATGGGATGCAGATGCGGATGCGATGTGGGACTAACTGCTGGGCTGCGCTCGCTGGGCTGCGCTTGAGGTGCATGGATGGGAATAGTGAGGGCAGGATGTAATTGAAGTGCAGTAGTAGGTACGCATGTAAGCAGAGCTGGGGCTGACAGCAGCGTTGACTAACCTGAGCTCGTAAGACTGCCCAGGCCTAGCAGACCCGACCGGCCAGGATGCGAGGGTCCCCCGGTCTGTGCAAATTGACCAAATTGGCCTGACGATGGCGCAGCAGCTGGGAGGCTGTTGCGAGACGATCGCACCCCGAGGCTAGCCAGACCCCACGAGGTGCGTCGATTCTTGGTGCTGCTGTTGCTGTTGTCCTTGCTAATGTCCTTCTTCTCCTTCTCCTTGACTGGCTTAATGATAGGAGACGCGGGCGGCGACGACGGAGGCGAGGAATCGTCCTGTATCTGGTAACCATAAAGTTATTAATAGCTCCATTCTCCACGTGCTCGGGAAGGACGGCGGGAATGCAAAATGCTGTGAAAATGGGGCGGGAATCGGAGCCGTCAGGATTAGCGTGCAGCGAAAGGGAACGAAACGGCCAGTGGAAACGCCTCAAGATATTTATGAGACAAAATGAGACAGACAAATTGGACAGATGGGAGAAATAAAAATATGATCCAAAAAGGGAGTGATACAAGACGGGAGGTTGCACAATGCATGACATAGGTGTGGACGGACGGGTTAGAGTCTCAGACCCGAATCAGCCGGGTCCGGTCTGGTCTGGCGAACAATAACCGCGTTGATACATCCATAGCCGCCCGCGCGTTTAAGAGGATCGAAAAGGTCTCTTTCTCTCTCTGTTGGCTGGGTCGGCTGCCTTATATAGCGGATGTGAAACATTGATTCGGGCGGAACATGATGGGAAAAAAAGGTGTCATATAATTTCCGTATCTCATAGCACCCGTCCGTCGTCCGTCCATGCCATGCCACACGATGTTTTGTACATGAAGAATCCGAGGACAACGCTGCACAATGGTAGGTAGTCCAAGAGTGGTTAAGTGAAAAAAATTGAAGGTCCTTCAGTTTGGCAACCTCTAGGACCTGTCGCCACACATGCTTGATTAAAAGAAGATATGCAATCCAACAGGTAAAGAACGCGTGCGCACTCCTTGCGTCGGTCCGGCCTAGTTCCTGGGTGAAGTGAACAGAGGAAGGGGGTTGAAGGAGGTGTCTTGTCTGCTTGTGCTGTAGTCAAAATGCAAAATGTTTAATGGAATACCTTGTC